GATGGATGGATGGATGGATGGATGGATGGATGGATGGATGGATGGATTGGTGGGTGGGTGGGTGGGTGGGTGGGTGGTTGGGTGGGATGGATGGATGGATGGATGGATGGATCAGCTGATCGATCAGCTGATCACCGGTTGCGTGCGGCTCTGCACCTGCACTCATCTGCGGTGAAGGAAGTAGCAGCATCTACAAGCTGAAGCGAGCAGCGCGTTCAATTAAAACAGCCTTATTCTATATTTTTCCAAATAATTTAGCTCTAAAATATTTTTGTTCATCTGTATAATATTCTGTCTTTACAGTTGATTTTTTGAGGCTATTCGTTTTGTATGTTAATATCCATTTGGTGATCTGTTAATAAAAATAAATCTTATATCTTCCTTTCATTACATTTTTAAAACTATCATGTCAAACTGATTTGTGCTTACAAAAGAAGTAAAAACTTAATTCCAAAAAAGTCTGGGGTGGGTGTTCGCGTTCGATCGTCTAATTACCGGTAATCCGTTGGGTCCGTGTAGGGCTTGGGAACAAAAACTAGAGGCTCGGTCCAGTCCAGGCTGGACTTATTAGGCCCGAATGCAACTTTACTTTCAAGCAGTAACAGATGGTACAAGAGTGTGTGTTTATTCAGTGGTTTATTTTATTCCATTATAAATGTGTAGTATGAACAGATGCTGAGATATATTCATACATTAAACGGGTTCTTCATTTTTCCGCACTGTGTAACATGCGTGCATTGAATTTAACAAAAATGTAACGAGAGACGTTATTTATCTTTGACCCATCAAAATGAATGCGGTCATTTATTTACAGAATCAAAGTTTAACATCAAACATTTACATTAATTTGGCAAAATATGAAAATAACAACAGCATAATTAATCAATCAGGAAAACCATACGGCCATGGTTTTCCGTTGCTTCACCACAGACATTAATGAAAACATCTGGATTAATTTTCTAGCAGAAAGGAGAGTTTGAAGATGGAAAATTGAGATTTATCTTACAGAGAGATGTGTGAGGGAATTTATCTGTTTTAACCAGAACAGCACGCTCTTTGGAAATCAGCTTGTCCCAAACGGTACACTTTTGGGTGAAGGTCGACTTTACCTTTCTGAAGATAGATCAGGTCGGCGTGAAGTCCTACTTCCAGCCACTTTCAGCGTCTCCGTTGAGAACAGCTAAAATACCTCGAGAGTCGTGCGAGGTTATCCAAACAGAAGTTATAATTCCCAAAATCGTCTCTGGTTCAGCTCGTTTGGCCCAGCAGCAACCATGAACGCCTGCGTTTTGCATCCAGGTTGTCCCAAAATCTCTGCATTCTGGATTCCAAGAACTCTGAACTCCTTCAGAACTCTGAACTTTTCTGGAACTCTCAAAACTCTCAAAACTCTTCTCAACTCTGAAACTCTCAAAACTCTGAAACTCTGAAACTCTACTGTTGAACTGGGAAGTCGCCACATTTAAACGGCTATACTTCCGGTTCATTTGAGAGCTTTCTGATTCGTGGATGGACCAGAACAGAGGTGTGGTTTGTGATGTAAGGTGTTATGGAAAGTCAAGGATTGTTTAAGAACAGACAGAAAGATATCATGGAAAAACCAGACTTCGTGGTGCCACCTCTCCTGTATCTTGCTGTAAAAGTTAAACATGACATTTCTTTTCAGTAAACTTTTTAGTTGACCGAAGCTCGAACTTTAACACACTTACAAATTTGCTCATTGAAAACAGAAAAATCAAGAAATGCATATTACCCTGATTTCTTCTTTGAATGAGGAATAAAAATCATTACTACTGTTTAAGTAAATAAAAATGAGTAGTTCACTTCAACATGTAAACATTGTTTGAACTAACACAATTTGATTATCAAACATTTGTAAAATAGTAATGATCATAGAGAATTGTCTTTTCCACTTGATTAATTCAAGAAAGAAAGTCTCAGGATCAATCAACCTGTATTTCTAGATGCAGATCAATGAAATGACAGTTTCTGACCATATGATCCTAAGGTCATTGATTTGACATCAGGTCAAGTTCACTACAAATGTATATTTCCTGTTCTGTCTCTCAGGGTCTGCGGAGTCTGGACCTGTCTGGAGCCCAGCAGCTTCCTTCAAAGGTCCTGTGTGAAACCCTGCACAGCCTCCCAGCTCTTCGCTCCCTCTCCCTCTGCGGCGTGCCGTGTGACAGAAGTGTAATCCACGCAGTTGTCCGCTGCTGCCGTTCATTGAGACATCTTGATGTGTCCCGTTGTCATTTGCTTTCCCCAGCTTCACTGCTTCCTCTAGGTGGTGTCAATCCGTCATCTTCCTTTCTGTCTCAGTGTTTGGACACCTCCTTTGCTCCAACTCTGAGTCCTCCTCTCCCCCTCAGCAGTCTGTTGGCTGTGGATATAGGGTTTGGCGAGCAGGAGGAAGACTCTACAACTGCAGCAGCCTACCTCCTTCTCTCCTTGCCGTGTCTTGAAAGCGTGGCCTTAGAAGGCCTCGCTGAGGCCTGCAATCTCATCGAGCACAAAGAGTTCATCCGGGCAGATGAGTTCACCAACAGAGAGGGAGTTCCACAGCTAGAGGAGGTGTGGAAAGAGAGGATGCAGAGGCGGGGCAGGAAGAGTTGGAAGGGGAAGCAAAGCAAACCAGATGAGAGTGAAGAGGACTTGGAGGATGAGAGTGAGGAAGAGGAAGAGTCCTGTTGTCAAACAAAGGGAACACATAAAGCTTTGTCCCAGTCAGGACTGGTCCTGCAGTTGAGGGATGTTCAGGGTGTAACCTGTGACTCTTTGAACAGTTTGAGTCGTTTATGTCCTTATATGAAGTCTATATCTTTGAACACTGAGTACAAACACAGCAGTGGAAGACAACATGGGTGTCTGCTGGCATCAGACCTACAGGCCTGGTCAGGGCAGCTGCAGAGCCTTTCATTTCACTACCCGGGCCCTCTAGTTGATCTTCTTCTACCCTTGCAAGTTGCAGGCTCCTCTCTGATTTCTCTCACCCTGGAGGGAGTGAAAACCAGCCCCCACAGCCCACTGCTGGAGGTCATCCGGGCCTGTCCCAGACTCAGAGACCTTTTCATCTCCGCTGAGCCTCCTGTTATGTTAGAGCTAGAGCATGAGGACGATGATGAGGATCTTCCACAGCTGCCAAACCTCTACTCACTCAAACTCAGGTAATCTTGTTTTATGTTTTTAATATGTTTGACTTGTAATGACAGTTATTGTTCAGGTTCACCTGCCTTCAACTGCCACTCATATCAATATATTTTTAAATCTCCTTTTTTGTCTTCCAATCGTCTGAAGTTTCTCCTATGATCACAACCAAATGAAGCCCTTCATGTTTTGGATGTCGCTGATGAAGGTCCTCAAGTGTCTCCTGATTGGATCTCCTTTGCTGGAGAAGCTCTCCCTGGTCTCCCTGCCATGTCCTCTGAACAACGTTTTACAGAACGTGCTGCAACGGGCGAGCTTGGGTACCCCAGCCTCACCTCCGCTGCCACTCGGACGGGTAAAACATCTTGACCTGGCGCGAACAGATGTTCAGATGATAACTATAAAAAACATAATGCAGCGGAGCAGGAGGCTGAAGTTTGTGGATGTTAGTCACTGCTGGCAGATCAGTCAGCTCCAGTGGCTGGACTGCAAAAGGGTCAGATCAGTAGAAGTTGTCTGGGTGTAGTAGAGAAGGTTTTTGAATGTATGAAAAATACCACTATGCAATTTTTTTTTTTAGATCTGCTGCACAATTAATACTTGCCTTATAAATTACACATGTTGAGCTTCTCTGGTCTGTAAATGAATTGTGTAGACAACATTGTGTTTTTATTACATTGTCACAATAACCCAACATTTTTCAGTCAGGTCATCTGGACAGATGACCTGACTGAAAAATGTTGGATTGTATACCTGGATTATTGAGCATGGACTTTATTGTCACAATAAATTCTCATAAAAGTCAATAGAAGATTCACTAACGTTCAATTTTTATGTGGTGTTGAATTTGAAAAGACTTTGACCTGATGGTGTCCAGATCGGTATATTTGTAAAGAGTATTTTACTATTTTACAATAAAAATGTCTACAAAGCTGATTTTATTTTCTCTCAATGTTTTTCTGTCAAAATATTTGAGAAAGCACAAGACTAATAGAAAGTTTTGGTATATCAGACTGAATGAACAAGTTTTTGCTTGATAATTCAAATTGACGTTGTTGACATGATTAGTATTTGCAGTGTTTATTTGCAGTGTTTTTGAACAAAAAATACAACTAAAGGTTTATATCTACGCTGCACTAAGTCAACTATGTGTATTAAAAAAAATTCTAAAAGAAAAATATATATGCAATAGGAGTAGTTTTACAAGCAGTTTTACTGGTGTGTTTGGAAAATATAAAACTTTAGTGAGCGTAGTTTGATTTTACTGTGAAGTGGTCTACTGAAGCCCACCGCAGGACGGCGCTGTACTGGCGCTGGGCGGTAGGTGGCAGTAATGAGTTATCGTCTTCATTGAAACACTTCACCGTGTGTAAAAGAAGGGTTCGTTTTAATGTCGGGACTGTGCGTTTGTTTTGTTATTTTACAGCAAGCAGGAAGGATGGATTAACCACATCTATGGGATTAACGACATATATGATAAAGACCATCATAAACTCGAAATTGCGTTTGAAATACGTGGAAAAGTGTTGACAGGATTACAATTTAATATCCCTTCTTTGGTGAAAATGAGGTAGAACATAGCATCTAAAATTATATTTAAAAATAACTGCTTATGGGTATCTAAAATAAATAAAATATTTGTTAGGAATAAAACTGTATGAGTTTAATGACGCTTAAAATGTAATTAAAAAGTTAATATAGGCTGCTTTTAACGAGTTTCCTGTTTCGTTGCGTTTACTCCGGGATACGCGTATAACTGAATCAAACGCCCCGCGGAGTGGGTAACACGTCACTCACTAAAGGGTAGCCATGAATTTGCTCAGTCACAACAGTCAGCCAGAAGTGAGCATCTGGCTGCTCACAAAAATGATATTTCCTGGAAAAGCGGGGTCTGTTTGTAAGTATTAACTCTGATTTAAGCCACTATCAGCTAAAGTTACCGTCATAAAAGCTTCTACTGCTAGTAGAAAACGCTAGTTTCGTGTAAAGCTCGTTTTTTATTTTTATTTACCGTGTATGTTAAATTATACTGCCTGCTTCGTGTTTTAACAGTCTGCTTCCTGGTTGTCCCTCCTTTAAGTCAAGTTTTGTACATTTCTCATTTAAGTATGGATTGTGCACTTGTCGTCGCACTTATGAGCCTTTTTAATAGTTTACTACTTTAAATGTCTACCTCTATCTCGAAGGTACTGGTTGTAAGTCATGAAGAGACAATCTCCCTCCCTCATCCGACTGACAGATAATAAACCTATAAGAACCTTTGCACCATGGGAAGGTGAGTCTGATGCCATTTCATTTTCCTCATGTCTTGTGTGACATTTAAACTGAAAGTCTTATTTGTTGGCAGGATCAGCTTCTCGTGCCTTTTCCCAGCCTCATGGCATTTCAGCCTGTCGTCCCAGGTTCTTCCTCGCCTTCTGGTACCTTCCCTCAGACAGCTGCTCTTCATCGGCCTGGTGATCTGCCTCATCGGACTTCTTTATTTGCTGCTTATAGCCGCAAAGGGACATGCCAGCTGGGTCACGAAGGAGAATCACTTCAACAGGTACTCTAAATGAAGAGCTATCACTCAAAAGCAGATATTAGAGATGCAATATGTGGTTAACCAACAGATGTTTGTTGGTTCAGGCACTTGGCAAGGGTTACTGATCTAGATGCGACGGACACAAGCAACCCCAACTTGAACTACGGGCTGGTGGTGGACTGTGGCAGCAGTGGCTCCAGAGTGTTTGTGTACTGCTGGCCCCGGCACAACGGTAATCCTCGCGAGCTGCTGGATATCCGGCAAATGCGGGATCAGCACCGCAAGCTGGTGGTCATGAAGATCAAGCCTGGTAAGACGCTCGCTGCTCGGCTTCTCATTCATCAAATTTAAAAATCTTGGTGTTATTTTCCATAAGGACGTGTCTTTTATCCCCTGTATTAAAAACGTTACAAGAACCTCCTTCTTCCACTTGCGTAATCTCGCTAAAATTAGAAACATCTTATCAAAAAATTATACAGAAAAACTGGTCCATGCATTTGTCACATCTAGGCTGGACTGTTGCAATGGTTTATTATCAGGGTGTCCAAATACGTCTTTAAAACGTCTTCAGTTGATCCAAAATGCTGCTGCCAGAGTCTTAACTGGAGTTACTGGGAGAGATCATATCTCTCCAGTTTTAGCTTCTCTCCATTGGCTCCCTGTCAAATCCAGAATTGAATTCAAAATCTTACTTCTAACCTACAAAGCCCTCAAAAACCTAGCTCCATCTTATATTCAAGATCTTGTTGTTCCATGTTTTCCTAACAGGGCACTTCGCTCTCAGACTGCAGGCTTACTCGCAGTTCCTAGAGTTTCCAAAAGCAGAATGGGAAGCAGATCTTTCAGTTCTCAGGCTCCTCTCTTGTGGAACCAAGTTCCAGTTTCTGTCCGTGAGGCTGAAACATTGTCCAGTTTAAGACTGGGCTTAAGACTTTCCTTTTTGATAAATCCTATAGTTCGGGTCGGCTTGTTATGCTGCTATAGACTACTAGAGGACAAGTTGATGTAATTTCCTTAAATGAATTGTTAAAATTTAATAGTTTTCATTTGATACTATTTCTATCTTAACATATGATTCTTGACCTGCCATTGTGTATCTATTCCTCTCAAACCCAGCCAGTCGAAGCAGATGGCCTCTTGTCCTGAGCCTGGTTCTGCTCTCAGTGCCCTGAGATGACTTCTGTTGTGACTTGGCGCTATAAAAATAAACTGAATTGAACTGAATCAAAACATTAAACGAGAAGGTTTAAATTTCTCACCAGTCTACTGGAACACTCCGTTATTATAACCTGCAATCATAATGCTTTTATTTACTCACTGTAAAGTCATCTTTGTTCTTGTGTTTTCCTTGCAGGGATCTCTAAATTGGCTAAAACACCTGAAAAAGCCAGTGATTACATAAATCCACTTCTAAGCTTTGCAGCTCGGCACATTCCCAAAAATAAGCACCATGAAACACCCCTGTACATTCTGTGCACAGCTGGAATGAGAATCCTTCCAGAGAGGTAAACGTGCTGAATGAGCAGAACTTTAAAATGTGACGATGACTGCTGAGAACAGAAGGTTGTGTCCTCAGAATTAAAAGGCACTGCTTTAAATGGCACTTAAAACAGAAAGAAATGGTCTTTCATGTCTTTGTGTTTCTCCCAGTCAGCAAGAAGCACTCCTGGAGGATCTGCGCACAGATATCCCAGTCGACTTCAACTTCCTCTTCTCCGATTCCCACGTGGAGGTGATTTCTGGAAAACAAGAAGGTAAATAAAGTGGAGAAGTTTGTTATTAATCCGTGTTTTCATATTTAATACAGTTTCTGCTGAATGACACAGACGTTTGAGTTTATAATAAACTTTATGTAACTGTGTTGACTTTTGATTCTGCTGCTTTTAGGTGTCTATGCGTGGATTGGAATAAATTTTGTCCTTGGAAGGTTTAACCATGTACATAACGGTAAGACCTCACACAAGTTTATTGTCTTACTATATATATATATATATATATATAGTATATATATATATATATATATATATATATATATATATTTAAACACCTCATGTCCACATGTTAACTCTTTTACAGAGATTTATCGTGTTCCCAGTGTCACTGTGATTACTTGACATAGCTTTGCTGTCTGACACTCCTCTTTCTTTGCTGTCAATCGTAGAAGGGGAATCTGTGGTGGAGGTCCATGTTCCAGGCAGCGATCAGCAGGAGGCGATGATGAGGAAGAGGACAGCGGGTGTCCTGGACATGGGTGGTGTCTCCACACAGATTGCGTACGAAGTTCCCAAAACTGTAAGCTTTGCCTCTCCACTGCAGGTTATTATCCACAACCAATTCTGTTCTTGTGCCGTCTTTGTTTGTTGTAACTTGTGCTTTGTTTTTCTTCCTCCTTCCAACCTCGTTCATTTCTCTGGCTAAATGTCTGTGAACCATTTTGTCCCGTGGAAACGATCCACTCTCCGTTCATCTCTGTCGAACACACAGCAGCAGCAGCTGCGTGACTCCAGAGCAGGATTTAAGGCTGGGAATACGAACCACCAAAAGCTTTAGCCCTTGTCCCTGTCAATTTTTTATGTTTTTGTTTTTGTTGTGATTTGTGTGGCAGAGTTGTTAACATAATCTTCAGATACACTTCATCTGTGACTCTGGTGATGTTTTGTTCTCGTGTGGTTATAAACTTGGGCGACCTGCTGCAGTAAAGTGTTTCTTTGCAAGATAGAAACACGTCTAGTTGTCTGAGCATATTATGAGTGTTTTTTTTTCCTTTCTTAAACTCATTTGTTTCTTCCGTAGGAGGAAGTTGCCAAGAATTTACTGGCCGAGTTCAACTTGGGATGTGATGCACATAGCACTGATCATGTGTATCGTGTTTACGTGTCCACTTTCCTGGGCTTTGGAGGAAATGCAGCGCGCCAAAGATACGAGGAGAGCGTCGTTCGAAAAACTGCAGCTCGAAACAAGTGAGTCCTACAACCCTTTAGCGCTGCCTCAGTGTCACCCGCTGAGTACTCTGTGCACAACACTGGTCTTTACAAGTCTTTCTGATCTCATTAGACTTCTAGGTCAGCATGTTGGTGAGACAGCAGAGTCTCCGCTCCTGGACCCCTGTCTCCCCACAGACCTGCAGGATGAGATCAGACCGTCTACATCGAAGCTCTACCTACGAGGAACGGGAGATTTTGACCAGTGCAGATTAATTCTCCAGCCGTTCCTCAACCGCACGAATGACACCCAAACCTCCGTCAGCGGCGTCTATCAGCCAGTGATCGACTACAACAACAGCCAGTTTTATGGCTTCTCTGAGTTCTACTACTGTACCGAGGACGTGCTGCGCATGGGCGGAGACTACAACGCCTCCAAATACACCCAAGCAGCCAAGGTGAACGCTATGTATAACTTGCATAAACGTTCATAAAGTGAAATTAAAACGGCTGCAGAAAACTTAAACTAGCCTTTGAATGTTTCATTGTCTCACTACTGAAGGTTTAAACGTATAACTCTGCTCAAAACTGGTGTTTTTGCTTTGGGGGTTCCTTTAACAACACAGTTTAACTTTTACAGGGTTACTGCGCCACCCAGTGGAAAACACTGAAGGAACGCTTTGACTCGGGCTTGTATGCTTCACATGCAGATCTTCACAGGCTCAAGTAAGTCTTCTAGTTTTACAGGATGTTTTCTAAACACTCTGTTAGTTCAGTGGTTTTATTCTGACCTCTGCAGGTATCAGTGTTTTAAATCAGCCTGGATGTACGAAGTGTTGCACGCAGGGTTCTCCTTTCCAACCAGTTACAAAAACCTGAAGACCGCCTTGTTGGTCTACGATAAGGAGGTCCAGTGGACTCTTGGAGCTATTCTGTATAGGACAAGGTTTCTACCTTTAAGGTAAGATCGATTTTCTCTTACATTCGCACTATTCTCAGTTAGTCTACGCTCCATTTTATCTTGTGTAATTCAATCTTGTTGAACCTGTTCTTCACTGTACGTGAACAAATGATTGGGTAATCTACAGAGCTGCCTGTAATAAGAGAACTGCTGTACTTTACACAACAAAGTAGGCTATTAATAGGCATTTAATTCAGGCTTGCAGAAACTGCAGCTCAGTTAGACAAGGAATGAGGTTGAGAAACGATTTCAGTCTCAATATAAAGTTCAAACCGTTAAACTACTGATCATTGAGCCAATTAAACACAAATGAGAAAAAAAAACAATTATTCGTGTTTGTATTGGTGTAAGAAACTGATTTTGTAATTTTCTGAAGTTTTATTAAAATAAATCAAATGTTAAGAGATTAGCTGCTTGGCTTTTTGTAGCTGCATTTATTGTTTGGTGCACATTTTGTAGTATTCTTTAAGAAAAAAAAAGTTGTCAGTTTTTATGAGATTTTTCTTGTTTTTCTTTGTCCCCATCATCATGGTTAAAAAAAAACTTAAAAGTTTGATCTTGTAGTTCCTTCTATGTTTGGAGCTTAAAGAGTTCACAAGCTGAGAGCAAATCTGTTACTGCATATCTCCCCAGGTAGTTTAATAATTAGACAAAAAAAAATATATATTTTTCAGTACAGTAGTCCCTCGTTTATTTTTTCGCAATTTTTCCACTTATCGCGGGGCTTCAGGGTGTGGAACCCCCGCTATAAGTGGAAAAATTGCAAAGTAGGAATAGTAATACAAGTAGTAAGTAGTAGTTTAA